CAGACAGTTATAGAGATATAGAGGGAAGAAGGAAGGAACAAAGACACACACACACACACACACACAAAGGTGATGTGGATAATTTTTCAGAGAAAACAGCTGCATAGGAAAATTATCCAACCCACTTCTCTGATAGGAAATGCTCATTGTTACCTTGAACTATCTACTTACTTTTTGCTTCCTTACTGTAGTTTTATGCTGTCATAATATTTTCTCCCGTTTCATCATTTTTTGGTGGGAAGGTTGCTGCATATTTTGTATAGTAATACATACATTTAAATTATGCATTGTCTAGAGGGCTGGGGAAAGCAGCCAATTTTTCTCCAGATTCCAACAAATTTGCAGAATCATTACATTTCATAATGCCCATGATACACTGCAGAACCATTGATACATTCATATTGAGCATTGTACGTATGTTTTTCTACTTTGACATAAAGGGAACTGTAACTGGTATAAAGGAATACTATGATCTGAGATGTGGAAATGGATATTAGTCTTATTTTTGTTCCTTCCTGCCACCAACTTGATTATCGAGTTTCCTGGAATTAAATCACTTTTAGGACTAAAAGTGGTACAGAAGGGGCCTGAGACAACAGGAAATGAAAGAAACCTACTTCTAGGAAGGGAAATTCACTCCTGAAATAGCTATCATGGGGGAAAGGGGTCTCCACTGAAGCTTTCTCACCAAACCTTATTTGCACAACAAGCCTTTTTTTTTTCAAAAAAGAGATGCTGAAAGAGAATAAATGTAGACCTTTCTTATTTATACACAGGGGAGAATTTTTAAAAGCCTTTTCGTGGGATCGCTAGCTCATGCAGAAGAAAGTACAAAGAATATTACAGTATGGAATGTGTAATATTTTGTATTAGAGAAGTCTCTTGGAGAGACCTAGGTTTAAATCCCCCCTTAGTCATGAGAACCCACTTGGGAACCTTGGGAAAATCACACACACTTGGACTAGAACACTGGTTCCCAACCTTTTCTTTGACCAGGGACCACTTTGAGCATTGACCACTCTCCAAGATTAATACCAAAAGGGTTATGAATCAGTTTTTGGTCAACTTTAAATTTGGTTTGGTTATTTGGGGTGCTGATTCAGAAAACTGCATTGGATAGACCACATCAGCTCTAGTTTCTGATACAGAACATATGTTTTACAGTAGTTACCATCTGCTTGCTCACAGAAAACCATATTTAATAACCTAGAGCTGATATGGTCTATCCAATGCAATTTTCTGAATCAGCACCCCAAATAACCCCAGGAACAGGCCTAAAAATGAAGACACCAAGGAGTGCCTACTTCCAGGCACCACATGGAATGGCTCCACTCAGGGGGAAGGGAGGAGGAGGAGGAGGAGAAGTAGCAGTTAGGAGGCTTGTTGTCATGCTTTTTGTGGGTAGTCAGCCTCTCCCCTCTTGAGGGTTTTGTGAGACCAGTCACTCTTGTTGTAACAGTGTAGTAATGGAGAGGCCACAGACCATATTTTAGTTTTTGGGGACCACTGGTGGTCCACGGACCACAGGTTGGGAACCATTGCCCTAGAAGAAGGCAAAGGCAAACCCTTTCAGAACACATTTGTCATAAAAACCCCATGGTAGGTTTGCCTTGGGGTGTCCATAAGTTGGAAAATACATGAAGGCACATAACAACATTAACAGCAAACCTAGTGTGTCCATGTCCTAGTTTGTTGCTTTAGTTGTATAAGAGTCTTGCTGGTCTGAAGCTTCTATAAATATTCATCTTGGAAAACGTTATTAGCAATATCTTAGATACCCTCCACATTTTTTAACGTTTCTTTGTTTTTAGAGTATTAGTATAAATATTAATTCAGTGCCTATAGATATCTCCTTTGAAAATTGAGGCAGATAATCTGAATCTTGGTATCCAATTTGTGTGTCTTAAAGAAGGGAAGATGCATGGCAGTTTAGAGCTGTCTTTCCGGGAAACCAATTCTTATATCTCAAGGGAAATTCACACTGCTTTTATTATTTGGTCACAAATAATGGACCTAATGCTTGTTGGCTTTTTAAAACACCTATGAGTAGCACTGCTTTTTCTCCCTTGCTCACACACTCTCTCTCCCTCTTGCAAAATATAAGACAAGGCCAAAGCTTAAATTAAAATCCTCAGGTTCTTATCTCCTTCCCACAGGAAAGCAAATCTGTGTTGAAAACCGTAAAATTAAGAGGAGAGCAAGGATAGCATAATTTAGCAAAAATTCATGCAGAAGATTCGGAGCTATATGACTGGAGGGATAGGTCAGACATTAAGAAGATAGCACTTGCTTAATGCAGGTTCCTTAAGGTGGTGCTCTGAAAACAAGGGAAAGTATGCAAAGAAAAAAAAGTAGGGAGAAAATGTGACACTAGCTTTGTTTTCATTCGTTTGAAACTAGAAAGGAATTTTTATACAGAGGCAGTTCTCTTACGTTATGCTATACGTATGATTAAATATTTTAAAAAATACTTGTGTTCACATTCAAATGAAGGTTGACCAGTTAAGAAACCTCTCTCTCAATTTATTTTATGAAGTACTTGGCTTGTGCATTTTGGTTTGATTCCCTCCCCGCTCCTCATTCCCAATACATCCATCATCTGGTATGGTTATATATTTGTGACCACAAAAAAAATCATTGCTGTAGGGGTTCCACTCAGAGTTTATCAAAAGGAAAAGCTACCATTTTTTTCTCCTTGATAATAGAGCTCATTTATAGAAAAGTAGAAAAATTAAGCTACAGAACATGGTGTAATCATGCAAATGATTTCAAACATTTTCATATTTTGCCTAGACACAGAATGTAGAAAAAAAAATCCCTAGAAACTCCGGCATCTTCCCAACTCAGAGATTGCATCGTGTAGCAATGAATGACTTAATTTGTAATAGTATACTGTGTAATTGTAATCATGTACAGATACTGTTGTGTGAACTATTTACTTCATCACAGTAGAGAAAAAGTCCACTTAAAATCCGGTTTGTGCCTGCTGCAGAATTCTGGGGCCTTTAATAGCCTCTCTAAACTACAAACCCCAGAATTCTGCAGCAGGCACAAACCAGATTTAAAGTGGATTTTTTCTCTAGTGTGATAAATGTTTTATCTTAGCATTTCAGATAAGACTATTTGGATAGGATCAGCCATAATGTAGTCAAAGATTATACTGGGTTGCTGTGAGTTTTCCAGGCTGTATGGCTATGTTCCAGAAGTGTTCTCTCCTGATGTTTCGCCCACATCTATAGCAGGCATCCTCAGAGGTTGTAAATCAGTTGGAAACTAGGCCAGTGAGGTTTATATATCTGTGGAATGTCCAGAATGGGAGAAAGAACTCTGTTTGAGGCAAGTGTGAATGTTGCGATTGTAAATCTTGATTAGCATTGAATGGTCTTGCAGCTTCAAAGCCTGACTGCTTCCTGAACAAGTGTGTGTGATTTTCCCTGGACATGTCACAAATATATAAACCCTCTTGCCTAGTTTCCAACAGACCTAATAACCTCCGAGGATGCCTACCATAGATGTGGGTGAAACGTCTGGAGAGAATGCTTTAGGAACATGGCCATATGGCTCGGAAAACTCACAGCAGCTCAGTGATTCCAGCCATGAAAGCCTTCACCACAGAAAGATTATACTGTTTTTAAGACACATTGTTGTTTTCATATGAAATAGACTGCCATCTCCTCCTCCTTCTTGTTCTTTTGTGAAAGTGGTGTAGTGGTCTGAGTGATGGTGAAGGATTCATAAACCAGGATGTAAGTTAGTGACTAGCCATGAAAACCTGTTTGAATGACTTTCAACAAGTCACACACTTTCAGCTTCAGAGAAAGCCAGTAACAAACTCCCTCTGATCAGATCTTGCCAGAGCTTGATAGAATCACTTTAGGGCAGTGGTTCCCAACCTGTGGTCTGCAGACCACCAATGGTCCGCAAGAACTAAAATATGATCCATGACCTCACCATTACTACACCATTGCAACAAGTGCTACTAGTCTCGAGAAAACCCTCTTCTAGTGCCGAGGCAATGAGGATGTCAGGAGGGGAGAGGCTGACTACTAATGAAAGGCTCAACAACAAGCCTCCTGACTGCTGCTTCTCCTCCTCTTCCTTCCTCACCCTGAGCAGAGCTGTTCCATGTGGCACCTGGAAGCAGGGGCACCTTGGTGCCTCCGCTTTTAGGCCTGTTCCTGGGATTATTTGGGGTGCTGCTTCAGAAAATTGCATTGGATAGACCACATCATCTCTAGATTATTAAATATGGCTTTCTGAGGGTGAAGAGATGATGACTTCTGAATGGCATGTATTCTGTATCAGATTCAGAAAATTGCACTGGATAGACCACATTAGCTCTAGATTCTGATACAGAACACATGCCATCCAGTAGTTGCCATCTGCACCCTCAGAAAACCATATTTAATAAGTCTCAGCACTATAAGAGGGTTTAGCAAGACCAGTTGCTCTCATTGCAACAATGTAGTAACGGTGGGGCCGTGGACTGTATTTTAATTCTTGTGGACCACTGGTGGTCCATGGACCACAGGTTGGGAACCACTGGTCTAATCCAGTGAGCCCATGTTTGGAGTTACATGTGTTTTATGAGTTCAAAAAAGTACCTTTTCCGGGCTTTGTTCAGTTATAAACTTTTCGGAATCCTTGATTGCATCAATGGATTTCTAATGTTTGCCATGTGTCTACTGCCTTCTTTTGCTTCTATTTTTGGACTTTTGTGGATATCATATCTCTTCCTAGTATTTGCTGTATTAATACTCCTAGCAATCAGACAAGTGTATATTAACCAATCATTCTAAATTATGCCTAAAAGCCATCTCGCCTTGCATTTTCAATTGAGTCTGTGTGTGAGAGAGATGCATTGGGATTGTCACATTTCTTATCTAAAGTTAACTCTTTAAAAGCCAAGCAGGCACTACTAAAATTAGGATGTTAAAGAAACTAACCTTACTGAGAATACAAACAATATTGTTACCATTTTTTTCTTGTTCTGTTTGCAGTCTAACAAAGTACCGGTGGTGCAGCCTTCTCACGCAGTTCACCCTCTCACCCCACTTATCACCTACAGCGATGAGCACTTTTCTCCAGGGACACATCCTTCACACCTCCCCTCAGACGTCAACTCAAAACAAGGTGAGAGACCACAATTACCAAAATCTTTACCAAAGCTTTACCCTGAGCCCTAGGGTGTTAGAAGGAACACTATCGCTTTGCTACTTTTCCTAAAAGTTTGCTTGATCAATATGCCTCCATCTTCCTGGTTGATTTAACTTGGGAAACCAGTTAAAGACTTTGGTGCCCCCTGCCATATTAAGAATGCAGTGCATCTGAGTGCTGGGAAAAGTTTTTTTCTCACTTCAGGAGCAACTTGAGAAACCGCAAGTCACTTCTGGTGTGAGAAGATTGGCTGTCTGCAAGGACGTTGCCCAGGGGATACCCGGATGTTTATTGTTTTACCATCCTTGTGGGAGGCTTCTCTCATGTCCCCTCATGGGGAGCTGGAGCTGACAGAGGAAACTCAAACCACTCTCCCCAGCTTAAAACTGCTGATCTGTTGGTCAGCAGTCCTGCTGGCACAAGGGTTTAACTCATTGCACCACCAGTGGTTCCTGGGGAAGTTTGCAGATTGCTTTGCTTGTTTTCAAATACAGGTTCAGATAGGTTTCGTGGCAGTGGGACACTGCCTTGCCACTCTTTCCTATTATTAACCATGTTATGTCTGAAAGCTCTGAGGAGTCTTGCTCTATCTATAGAATGAAGCTTCTGAAATTTGTTTCTCCCACTTTCAGTAAGTTGCTCTGTTTCTCAGATCTCCAGAATTTTCTTTCGTGCCTCCATTTGCAATCTTAACTTCTCTATAACTACCTGCATAATTTGCTTTTGAATTAGTTTTGACCAACTTCAAACTGGGCTGTGGGGAAGCATAATGACATGCAGCCACTTGAATTGCACCTCGATGCAAACTTATTTTTTTAATTTCTGTAGTTATTTATTAAAGCTCATATTTGATTAACTAGATTCTGAAGTATCACTATTGCCCATTTGGGTTTATTAGAAACTCAGGTTAGATGGGCTGTTGTAGGTTTTTTTCAGGCTATATGGCCATGTTCCAGAGGCATTTTCTCCTGACGTTTTGCCTGCATCTATGGCAAGCATCCTCAGAGGTAGTGAGGTCTATTGGAACTAGGAAAGTGGGTTTATATATCTGTGGAATGACCAGGGTGGGGCAAAGAACTCTTGCCTGTTGGAGCTAGGTGTGAATGTTTCAACTGACCACCTTGATTAGCTTAGATGGCTTGGCTTTGGCTATAAGATATATGGGTTTTGATAGGTGGTAGTAACATATATAGGGAGCCCCTGGTGATATATGTAAATGTGAGTAGTTCAATAGGAAGATAATGGGGCTGCATGCAGTCATGTCGGCCACATGACCAGGAGGTGTCTATAGACAACACAGGCTCTTTAGCTTAGAAATGGAGATGACAACCACCCCCCAGTGTCAGAAATGACTAGACTTAATGTCAAGGGGAAACAACCTAGCATTTCGAAAACATGCAAATATGAGTAAATCAATAGGTACTGCTTCAGCTGGAAAGTAACGGCACTCCATGCAGTCATGCCAGCCACAGGAGGCATCTATGGACAAGACCAGCTATTTGACAAAGAAATGGTGATGAGCACCACCCCCCAGAGTCAGACATGACTAGACTTAATGTGAAGGAGAAACCTTTATCTTTTAGTGACAAGTGCCTTTGCAGGAGTTTACTAATAATGGGTTCCAGAAGATTTCTTGGAGTATATTTCTGCATTATAACAACTAAAATGTAGTTGTACTAAGCATAGATATGAGACTTATTGAATTAATGCTTCCAAAGAACAACTGAATCTTAAAAGGATAAATATATAGTTAATTTTTAGAAAACAGGGTATTCAATGTTGCTGTGTTACTTAATGTTCCTGTCATAGTCCTGTATTACTTATAGGAAAGTGCATTACTGTGATTGTCTTCTGAGATAAATTATCCTGAGTATTTCTACTTTTGTGTTTATCATTTCCTGTTTTAGAGTAAGGTTCTTCCTGTCATATATTTATTCAATTTTTATTATATTATCCTCAAACCACCTTTTAACTTGACATATACCATGGATCTATGGAAAAAGAGCTAAAAGCAGGGCAGATAGGAAATAGATTCTATTCTATTTTATCTATGTAACAATAGTTGGCAAGGACATCCCATATGTCTTTTTCTTTTATTATTATATCTGACATAAAGATTTGTGGGGCAGAGAAAGGACCATGCATCCTTGCTCTACATATTGTTGATTAGGCACTTGCTATACAATTCTTAGTTGAAGTGTTATATGTAGCAAACTGGATGCAAGAATGCTAAAAATTTTGAAAATGCACCCAAAAAAGTAAATAGCTGAGGTTTCAGGGCACTGTTGGTCAACTTGGGTTAAAAACGTATTAAAAGATAACCCTATTTGTTTAATTACTGTAATCAGTTCAACCTTCTACTTTTTCCAAAGAATGTATCCAAGATAGCATGTAAAAACCAGGTATAGTACAGTCTATACATCACCAGTTTCATTCACCCATGTCCTATCTAGGCATTTTCTAGGTCCTCCAGTGCAACTCTACAATATTATTGGGCCAAAGGTCGTTCATTTCAGTATTTATTTCATTATCTCACCTCAAAGGGGACTCAGGCTGCATCACAATGCACACGTACACAGCAAACGTTCAATGCCATTTTAAAAAAATATACAGACAGACAGAAAGAGGTATTTTTGGCATTAATTTTGGCACCTGGAGGATATGCTCGATTCCAGCCACAAGGGGTTGCTGTCGCTTAATCCACTATGACACAAAGTCATTTTGATTATTTCCTCCTTTGACCACCTGCATTTTCATGGTGTCGTAAAATACCTCCCCACTTTAAGTGGTCCCTAATTTCTCTATTCACAGCTCAGCTGTTTTCGAACTGCTTAGGTGGACAGTAAGCTAGGCTCAATCCGACTTGGGCTTCAAAATTGCCACCTTCGGGTCAGCAGTGATCAATTGCAGCTGGTGATTAATCAGATTTTGCTATTGCTGTATCAATGCAAAATCCATAACGTGTTCCATGTGGACATGGCAGGTCTTACAGTATAGCTGAAAACTGTTTGAAATAAAAGTTAAAACCATTCAAGACATTATTCCATTAAAATACTATATTGAGATCGTTTAAAACCACATTCAAACAGAGGAAATAGGAAACATATTCCTTTAATGATCCCTCTGCTAATGTAAGACAATAATAAAGGTTAAAGTTTTCCCCTGACATTAAGTCCGGTCATGTCCGACTCTGGGGGTTGGTGCTCATCTCCATTTCTAAGCCAAAGAGCCAGCATTGTCCATAGACACCTCCAAGGTCATGTGGCTAGCATGACTTCATGGAGCCAATATTTTGCCTAAATAAAAAGATATTTGCCAGCCAGTGAGTAGAGAATGGAAAGTGGGAATGAACTGGGAATAGTCACTGAGAAGGCTTTCTCCTGGTCTTCACCAAACACCTCTGATGATTGCAGAATGGAGAGAAATCCTTTCCCCAAAGGTCTTCAGAGTCAGATTGGCTCATAGTTTTTCAGGGATATGGGATGCATGTACTTGGGGGCAAACAGTCATTCAGGTAACCCCTTTGTCCGGTCATGCTGCAGCTTCTTATTGAATTTTTGTCAAGGAGCAAGTCTTTCAAAATGACTCAGTCATTTGTACTTCTTCTCATTTAGAACAGAGGGCTTTACATGCAAAATGAGACCTGCGATTCTTGCTTCGCTACTTCTCTAATGGGCTAAATAAATCAATGGCTTAATGGTCTTTGTGACCATAATTCTGTATGCCTCCTCGGGGGTATGAGATTTAGGTAGACCGTGAAAACCACTGGGCTCATCTGGGACTAAGATTAGTGTTAATCCTTGAGGTGGTTTTTTAAAAGGGTTTGTTGCATTTTTATGTTCTTGGGAGTGTGGGTTGATAGATCGTTTCCAGTGGGACTCCTTTACCCTACTACAAAAATACTAACCAGCACAAAAGCCTGACCTTGGCGTCCACAAGAGTCAACTTGATGAGGAGCTTAGCTGAAGCTGGAGTGACAATCAGAACACCAAATGAATCATATCAAGTGTGACCATTACAGGCCTGAAAATGATTCTTAATTAACCACCGATCCTCTGTGGTAGCAAGTTTCCAAAATCTGTGAATCACGAGGGAACCGCAGAAAATGTACAAGCAGCAATTTACCTAATCTAATAAGTCTAGTCTGCTGCGTATTTGGAATGGCTGCTTGCCTCTTCTCTAAGCCCCTTCTGACATGTTTCATTTCTGAACAATTTCTCAAGGCTGATTTTCAGTGGATTTTGAAAAGGTGAAAAAATCCAGATACTACGAGTTTATCATTTATGGGCTGTGTAACCTCCTTTCTCTTTTTCTTTTCAAATCAGAATGAAAATCAACTATGAAATGTATAAACCACCAGTCTTGTGGCATAAGCTTTTCTGGCAAGAGCCTATTCCACCATATTCATGAAGCAGTCACCAAAGTGGGTAGGTGTGTGTGTGTGTTTATATATATAGTCATAGTACAGAAGGAAGGAAATTGAACTATATTCTTATTTATTTTTCGAGGCCAAGAGGTCAAGCAGTACAAAATAGGGTGGTTGCTTTGTCGCAGTACTATGCAGATCACAAATGAATACAGAATATAGCCTGATGCAAGCCTATGTAGCAAAACAAGTGAAGATCAAGAATGTACTATTTGGGTCCTTATTAGGAAAGAAAAAAGGATATGCATCAAATCAAAATAGATAAAAACTGGACTCTTATGACAAACTTACATGTACTTAGCAAGAGTATCCAATATGACACTGTGTACTTTATACTGAATTGTGCTTTTCTAATGGAAAGGAGGATGGCAAGCCATAGCATTGATTATATGCTATAAGACCACATAATGATGGCGCCACCGGTGGCACAATGGGTTAAATCCTTGTGCAGGCAGGACTGCTGACCAACAGGTCAGGTCAGCGGTTCAAATATGGAGAGAGCAAGTTGAGCTCCATCTGTCAGCTCCAGCTCCCCATGCAGGGACATGAG